CTGCTCTGATTTTGTGATTTCTTCCCTTCTACTAATTTTCGTTTTCTAGTTCCTTGAGCTGTCTTAGCTTGTTTATTTGAAATTTTTCTAGTGTTTTGACGCAGGCACTTATTGATATAGACTTGCCTATTAATACTGCTTTTGCTTGTACCATAAATTTTGGTGTGTTCTGTTTCTGTTTTTGTTTCAAGAATTTTTTTTTTTTTTTTTTTTTTTTTTTTTTTTGAGACAAAAATTTTTGTTACACAGACTGGAGAGCACTGGTATAATCATAGCTTACTGCAGCCTCAAACTCCTGGGCCCAAGGGGTTCTCCCACCTTAGCCTCCCAAGTAGCTAGGAATACAGATACATACCACCATGCCTGGCTATTAAAAAAAAAAAATTGTAGCGATGAGGTCTCACTATGTTGCTCAAGCTGGTCTCAAACTCTTGGCCTCAAGCAATCCTTCAACCGTGGCTTTCCAAAGCTCTGGGATTACAGACATGAGCCGCCATGCCAAGAAATTGCTTAATTTCATTCTTAATTTCTTCGTTTACCCATTGGTCATTCAGGAGCATGCTGCTTAATTTTCATGTATTTGTATGGTTTTGAATGTTTCTCTGGTTATTGATATTTAGTTTTTTCCCATTATGGTCAGTTAAGATATTTATATGATTTTAATTTAAAAACAATTTGTTGAGAGTTGTTTTGTGTTCTAATGCATAGTCAGTCCTGGAGAATATTCCATGTGCTGATGATAAGAATGTGTATTCTGCAGCTGTTGGGCAAAATGTCCTGTAAGTGTTAGATTAATTTGGCCCACGCTGCAGTTTAATTTCAGTGTTTCTTGTTGATTTTCTGTCTAGATGATCCATCTAATGCTTAGGATGGGGTGTTGAAGTTCCCAACTATTATGGTATTGGAGTCTATTTCTCCCTTTAGATCAAATAATATTTGTTTATATATTTGGGTGCTTTGGTACTGGGTGGTTTTGACTTTTGAAAAAATTTGTTGAGACTTGTTTTGTGTCCTAATGTATAGTCAATCCTTGAGATTATTCCATGTGCCAATGAAAAGAATATGTATTCTGTAGCTGTTGGGTGAAATGTCCTGTAAACGTTAGATTCATTTGGTCTATGCTGCAATTTAATTCTAAAGTTTCTTGTTGATTTTCTGTCTAGATGATCCATCTAATGCTTAGGATGTGGTGTTGAAGTTCCCAACTATTACTGTATTGGGGTTTATTTCTCCCTTTAAATAAAATAATACTTGCTTTATATATCTGGGTGCTTTGGTGCTGGGTGCAAATATATTTATAATTGTTATATTTTCTTGCTGAATTGGTTCCTTTATTGTTATACAATATCCTTCTTTGTCTCTTTTTATAGCTTTTGACTTGAGGGCTGTCTTGTCTAACATAGGTGTAGCTACTCCTGCTCACTTTTTCTCTCTTCACTTTCAGTCTATGTGTGTCTTTACAGGTGAGGTGAGTTTCCTGTAGGCATCATATGGTTGTTTTGTTTTTTTTTTTTAATTTTATCCATTCAGCAAATCTGTATGTTTAAACAGGAAATTTAACCCATTTACATTCAAGGTTATTATTGATAAGTGAAGACTTATTCAAGTTATTTTACTGATTGTTCTCTGGTTGTTTTGTATACCCTTTGTTGCTTACTTTTCCCCTTATTGTTTATTTTTATAATTGGCTGGTGGTTTTCTGCAGTGATAAGGTTTAATTCATTTTTTTTCTCCATTGTGTATTAGCTTCACCAGTGACTTTTATAGTTTTCCATGTTTTCATCATCATGATTACCTTCTTGCCACTTTCAGATGTCAGACTCCCTTGAGCATTTCTTGTAAGTCTGGTCTAATGGTGATGAATTCTCTTAGTTTTTACTTGCCTGTGAAAGATTTTATTACGCCTTCACTTCCGGGTATAGTATTCTTGGCTAGTAGTTTTTTGTTTGTTTGTTTTCCTTTCAGTACTTTGAATATATCATCCCATTGTCTCATAGCCTGTAAGGTTTCTGCTGAGAAATCCACCGTTAGTCTAATGGAGATTCCATTCTATGTGACTTGACACTTTTTTCTTGCTGCTTTTATAATTGTCTTTGACTTTTAACGATTTGACTATAGTATACCTTGGAAAGGGCCCATTTGGGGTAAATCTATTTGGGGTCCTTTGAGCTTTCTGAACAGGGATATCCATCTTTTTCCCAAAACTTGGGAAGTTTTCTGTTCTGATTTCATTAGATATTTTTTTCTTTCTTTTCCACTTCTCTTATCATCCTGGAATGCTAGTAATGTGAATATTTGTTCTCTTAATGGTGTTCCATAAATTCTGTAAGCTTTCTTCATTTTTTTTATTCTTTATTCATTTTTTTGTCTGTGTTATTTCAAAAAGCCTGTCTTTTTCAGAAATTATTTTTTCTGCCTGATCTAGTCTGTTGTTGAAGCCCTTGATTATATATACTTTTTATTTCATTCACTGAATTCTTCACTCAAAAACTCTTATTTTTTATGGTATCTATCTCTTTGTTGAATTTCTCATTCGAATAATAATTTCTTTTCCTGATTTTGCTGAATTGTCTATCTATATTCTCTTGTATCTCACTGAGTTTCCTTAAATTGTTATTTGGAATTCATTTTCTGGCATTTCATATATTTCATTATGACTCGTGCCTTCTATTGGGGAATTATTGTTTTCCTTTGGAGGTATCATGTTTCCTGCTTTTTCATGTTTGATGTGTTCCTATGCTGATCTGTTCCTATGCTGATTTGTTCCTATGCTGATTTCTATGTATCTGGTGGAAAAGTCACTTCTTCCAATTTTATGGAGTAGATTTCATAGAAAAGGACTTATTCATATTAATGGATCTTGGAGTATCAGTTCAGTGGGATATGTTGGCCTTGCTCTCAGGTATATGCAGTAGTGTAGTCTCCATGCAGTTTCTTTAACTGTAATCCATACTAGTGGCATTTGTGAGTTTCTCAGTGGCCTAGGCTTTTTCCCACAATGCAAAGTCCTCCTGACTCTGGGCAGATCTTATCTAAGCAGGAGAAACAGAGCTGCAGAAGATGAAAGCCTCCACACTGCCCTCCTGGCCTTCTAGTGACCATAGGTGCATCTCCACTCTCCTACTCCACTCTAACACTCTCTGACACTCCAGTCAAATCTTAGCTGTTTGTTTGTTATCTTGGTCCTTCCTTGTTAGAAGGATGAATGCTAGACATCTCTAGTCAGCCATCTTACTGATGTCACACTCTAATTTCTATGACTTTATTGATCATCTCTCTTTGTTGAGACATTGTTTTCCTTGTTTCTTTTAGTTATTTTTCCATGATTTACTTTAGTTCTTAGAACATATTTTAAATAGTTAAAGTCTTTGTTTAGTACATACAATGTTTGGGCACCCTTGGGGACAGTTTCTATTAATTTTTTTCCTGCAATTGGGCCATACTTTCTTATTTCTATTCATGTCTCATAATTATTTATTGAAAACCAGACATTTTGATATTATAATGTGATCACTCTGGAAATCAGATTCTGTCCCATTCTCAGAGTTTATTCTTGTTGATTTTTGTGGGGTGTAAATTTATTTGTTTAGTACCTTTCTAAACTATTTTTATGGACTGTGTTCTTTGTCTTCTTTTTTTTTTAATCTCTGTAATTTTATTTACTTTAGCTTATGGTCAGCTGTGGTCAGACCGAAATTTCTTTAAATGCCTAAGGATGAAGAGAGAGAATAAGAGGAAGAAGAAAAAGGAGGAGGAGGAGGAGAAAAGGAGGAGGAGGAGGAGGAAAGAAAGAGTAGTAGGAGGAGGTAGATAAAGAGAGGAAGCAAGGAAGGAAGGAAGGAAAGAAGGAAGGAAGGAGGGGAGGGGAGGGAGGGGACGGAGGGAGAAAGGGAGGAAAAATCCTCTTTTAGTCTTTGCATATTGGCTGTGTTTGGGCCCTCCTTCAATGCTTAGCCCAGATCTTTATGATTTTGTGTTAGCCTTAACTTCCTGCTTTCTCTAAGCCTAACTGTCAGCCAGAAATGAAAGCTTATGGTCTTCCCATTTCTTTTTTGAGCACATAACCTGCCCTGGGCATATACATGGATTTCTAAATATCCGTTATACAGAGGGAATTGTCAAAGCCCTTATCTTCCAGAGTGACTCTCTTCCCAGGTTTTCCTCCAAGGCTGTCAGCATCTTAGGGCTTGCCCCAACTATAATCTTTTGCAGGGTGGCAGGGACTTGTTTGTTTTTAAAATATGTTTAAGCAACATCCTTTACCTAGTAATTTTCCACTCTGAGAGAAATCTAGTTAGGTGAAACAAAAGGAAGTGCTTTTGTCAGTCCTTCAGGAAACCCTCAGACAGGTCAAAACAAACACATCTTCCTGGGAATAAAGTCCACTCTGCTCTCTCCAGAATCAGATAATCACATTGGAAACATGATCTTCTGTCTTCTATTCTGCTATCACACTAGGGAGGGAGCTGGAGAAGCCTAAGTTAAAAATATCACAAAGCTTTTCTATTCCTGCCATGTTGAGTTATCTTGATTCAACTTTTTACTTGATTGATCTAAACATCTGACAATTTTCTGGAGTTCTCACAAAGTTGATTCTGAAAGTATATAGCAATGTTATCACTGGCAACATTTCAGGTTATGAAAACTTGGAAGTTCATTTTTAAAAATATGGCCTTTAATTATGTCAAAAAGTCTAAGACCAGGATATTTTGGCTAAATATAAGAGAAATTATTACTTTAGATTTTGAGAGACATTTCAACTATGTGTCCTCAAAGATCTTAGATTCATAATACATCTAATCTGTAAGTATACTTTTGTCATGATCTGGCCGTTTTTTGAATACTGACTCTCCAGTTTTGTATACTGCCTCTCATAATTGTCAAGGCTTTGGGTTAAGTATGAGGAGATGCTGCAATCAGAATCAAGCTTTATGCATTAGTAATATCTTCTTCTGTTTTATTATAATGTGTTTTGTTCAAAAATGCTGTCTTTCTCACAGGGCGTACACAAACTTTACTACTACTGAATGGTCAGCTCCAATTGTGTGGCATGGCACTTACAATGAGTCAGTTTTGGAAAACTATTATGCAAATCATAAAATTACTGTGGGGTTGACTGTGTTTGCTGTGGGAAGGTAGGTAATGATGTCAAATGTCCTTTACATTTAGGCTTTTTATTATAGAAAATGGGATGTAATCTACTGAAGCACCTAATAATTTCACTTAATAACTATTAAATCAAGGCAAATTCCTGCAATAATTTTTTTTTTTTTTGAGATGGAGTCTCACTCTATCACCCAAGCTGTAGTGCAGTGGCACCATCTCGGCTTACTGCAAACTCTGCCTCCTGGGTTCAAGCGATTCTCCTGCCTCAGCCTTCCAAGTAGCTGAGACTACAGGCGTGTACCACCATGCCTGGCCAATTTTTTGTATTTTTAGTAGAGACAGGGTTTCACCATGTTATCCAGCATGGTCTCGATCTCCTGACCTTGTGATCCACCCACGTTGGCCTCCCAAAGTGCTGAGATTACAGGTGTGAGCCACTGTGCCAGGGCTTCCTGCTATAATTCTAAATATCACTTCATCCACTCAAAAAATGTCCCAACACTTGAGTTTTCTTTTGTTTCTTTTATCTGATTTTACAATGCTCTCCCAATATTAATTTAATTTCTTGGGTCTATTGACAGTAATTTTAAATATCTTCTCTTCCTTCATAAGGTTGTGCTTCTGTTATAGCCATTTTTCATTGTTTTTACAAGGAGTTGACCTAATAATTTGCTCCTACCAGTGCTTTCCCCAAATCATGAATTACTTTCAGATAAACTTACTTAACTGTGCTTATTGCCCCCTTACAGGAACACTGGTTCAATATATAATAAAACAATGTAACTGCAGATATTTGTAATATAATTTTTACTTGCTATATTTTCTGACCACCAATCATAATACATAAAACAAAAAGTACATAAAATAATCCAGTAGTTTAAAAATAAATCCAATTTTTTCTTAATTCTTAAATAGAAAATCAAAATAATTAAAGTAGACTCCTAAAAAATACAATTATAATGAAATATTGCCATTTAAAGATGGATAAATATAGCCATTGTGTTGATCTCCTAACTTCTGAAACTCTTGGAAAACAACAAATATGAATCAAAAAAAGTTTTAAGTTAAATAAAACTAAGAAATATCCAAAATCGGCTGGGCGTGGTGGCTCATTCCTGTAATCCCAGCACTTTGGGAGGCCAAAGCTGGGGGATCACCTAAGGTCAGGAGTTCCAGACCAGCCTGGCTAACATGGCAAAAACCAGTCTCTACTAAAAATACAAAAATTAGCCAGGTTGGTGGGGTATGCCTGTAATCCCAGCTGAGGCAGGAGAATTGCTTGAACCTCAGAGGCAGAGGTTGCAGTGAGCTGAGATCGTGCCACTGCACTCCAGCCTGGGAGACAGAGCGAGACTCCATCTCAGGAAAAAAAAAAAAGATCTTATATCAATAACCTAACCTCCTACTTTAAGGAACTAGATAAAGAAGAGCAAACTACACCTTAAGCAATGAAAAAAGTGGTGTGGGGATAAACATTAGAGCAGAAATAAATAAAGTAGAGAATTTTTAAAAATAGAATCACTAAAACCAAAAATCGGTTCTTTGAAAAAGATCAGCAAAATTGATAAACCTTTGAAAAAAACAAGTTGAGGGGCATTCTATAAAAGAGCTGATCAGAACTCTTCAGAACTGTGAGGTCATGAATAACAAGGAGAGAAACAGACACAAAAGGAAGAGACTAAGGAAACTAAATGCAATGTACAGCCTAGGTTGGATTATGGAAACTAAAATGTCCATTGGAGGAATACTGATTAAATCAAAAAATCTGTGGTATAGTTAATAGCGTCTTACCACTAATAATTTCCTACTTTTGACAAGAGTGCAATGGTTACATAAGACATTAATGTTAGGAGAAGCTGGATGAAGTGTATATGGGAATTCTCTAACTTATATTTGCAACTTTTATTAAATTTGCCCTATATCAAACCATATACAAAAATTAATTCAAATGGGTAATAGATTTAAAATGTTAAAGATAAAACAATAAAGCTATGAGAAGAAAATACAGAAGAATATTTTCATTACGTTAAGGAGGCAAAGATTTCTGAAACATGACATAAAAGCACTTAACCATGAAAGTAATGCAGGCTGGGTGAGGTGGCTCATGCCTGTAATCTCAAAACTTTGGGAAACCAAGGTGGAGGAAGATCACTTGAAGCCAGGAGTTCGAGACCAGCCTGGGAAACATAGCAAGACACTGTCTCTATAGAAAAACGTTTTTTTAATTAGCCCACGTGTGGTATTGTGTACCTGTAGTCCCAGCTCCTCAGGAGGCTCAGGAGGGAAGATTTCTTGAGCCCAAGAGGTTGAGGTTGCAGTAAGCCATGACTATACCACTGCACTCCAGCCTGGGTGACAGAGCAAGAGCCTATCGCTAAAAATAAAATTTAAAACCTTTTTTAAAGAAATGTGGGTAAAATGGATTTCTTTGGATTTTAGGTGCTAGCTTCCAGCTCAGCAGAATATTTTAAGTGATACTTTTCATAATTTACTTGGTAATTTTAGATGTTCTGAACTAGAAAGGTTTCTCCTGATCTCTAATCTGCTATATTTATTAAAACTTAGAACAACATCCAGAATTCATTTTTAAGGATTATATAAACATTATTTAAGGTGAGCAATACATGATTACCTTTCCTTTCTTGAATTTACCTGAGGCCATTTATTACTCTGAGAATCTTTTCCTGGCTTGAGAGAGTAGAATTGAAAAATTTGTTTTTCAGCCAGCTATTCTAAAATTACAGTAAGGGCCACAAGGTAAAATAAGAAAAATGGTTCAGACAGTGGATTATTGACTATGCCCCTTCTGATTTTGTATGCATAACTGATTACTCATAAAGCAAGAGACAGACAATGATAGCTCCTCCTGCAATGACCCAAGACCTTTCCTGCCTATGACCCCCAAAAGCAAGTTACCATTGCTTTTCAGGTTATCACCCTCAAAACCCTGGCTCTCATTCTGGGCTGGGTTCTGCTCAATTTTCTAATCTCACTAAGTTTCATTATCTCTAGTGAGAAACTTCTCCTCTATTCTACGATCTGCAGAACCCCATCAGGGAGAGGAAAGGCAGATAATTTCACTTTCTTCTATATTACTTAAATGTAACTCAAGAAGTATATCTAATATGTGGTTGCCTAGTAGCATTGCTAGATAAGCTAAAGTTAGTGTAATTTAAATAATATGTGCTCCACTAAAGTATAATATAAAGATGAACTCAATCACTTCTTATTACTTCACAGATACCTTGAGTTCTATTTGCCAGGCTTTTTGTTATCTGCTGATAAGTTTTTTATGGTTGGCCAGAAAGTCATAATTTATGTCATGGTAGATAACTTCTCCAAGATGCCTTGGATACATCTGGGTCCCCTCCGTACATTCAAAGTTTTTGAAATTAAACGAGAGAGGAGATGGCAAGATATCAGTATGATGCGCATGAAAACCATCAGTGAACTCATTGTCAACCACATCCAATATGAAGTTGACTTCCTTTTCTGCATGGACGTGGATCAAACTTTCAGAAAAAAATATGGATTGGAGACTCTGGGAGAGTCAGTAGCTCAGTTGCATACTTATTGGTATCAGGTAAATCCTAATCTAGTACCTTATGAAAGAAGTCAGTTATCAGAAGCATATATACCTTTGAATAAGGGAGATTTTTATTACCATGCTGCTGTTTTTGGTGGCACTCCCCTTCAGGTTCTTGATATTGCCAGGGAGTGCTCCAAAGGAATCATCAATGATAAGAAAAATAACATTGAAGCAGTGTGGCATGATGAAAGCCACCTAAACAAGTATTTCTTTCTCCATAAACCCACCAAAATATTATCACCAGAATATTGCTGGGATTTTAATCATGAAAGGAATTCTGATATCAAAACTGTCAAACTCTCTTGGAATATTAAGTATTATAAATTTCTTAGAGTGACAGCATAATTTTATAGCCCTTCCTTTATATTTCTGAATTTAAGGGCATCATTTTATCTCATTCTTTAGAAAATTGTCTTATTCCTTGGACAATTTGCACTCTACAAAAGTTAGCACTAAAAAAATCACAAACAAAATGGCAAGCCCACTACAGAGCAAACTTATACTTTCCCTTACGTTCATTTTGAATTATACAACATGAGATTTAATAGCTGCAAAATAGGTTTACTGAAATCAGAAGAAGACATGAATGTTGAAATATTATTTGTTGGATTGCATCAAACAAAAGATTCTGTTACAAGAAAATGAAATGTGAAATACTTTCATTGATCCAAGTAGATATAAATTTTTCTATTGCTTAAGGAAAGGAGTTATCTAGAGGTGTGGGGAAAAGAAGATCCCTACAACTATATCAATATGCCCTATATGTAAAACTTTAAAAGCATTGAAGCGGTCACCAAAGTTTGAGTCATTCTGAAAGAACTACATACTTTAAAACTACAGTTGTTTGTTGTAAAAGCTTATGAAAAGAAAATAAAAATATAGAGAGAGAAAATTGAGAGTCTCCCTTTTACTCTCCCTTTGAAAACCTGTCTTAACATATTTCTTATGTAGGCATTTATATACCCACTACATGAATACACACACACACAGACACATTCACATATGTGCTTATATAATATTTTATACAAGTTGACTTATATCACACACATACATACACATGCACACACACATCTTGTCAACAGTCAAGGTCTAGCTAGTAAAGCAGAAACTACTATTCTAGCTATTTCAAACAGTGGGGATTTAACACAGGGAATTGGACATGAAGGTGATAAAAGACCTAGAGAGAGATAGGGAGAGGAGGCAACCCATGATTTTCAAAATAAAGGTAATAACATCCTGAAGGTTGAAGAGAAATATGTAGGGTGTCTAGAAAGAGCTAGAACCTAGCAGGAGTTACCTGGCATAAGGTGACACAAAAGAGAAAGGAGTTTCAGCTACTACTCGATATGCTACCCGTAGTGAGGGTGTGGAGGGGAGATCCAGACTTTTCTGCTCCTCCTAGCCTGCTCTCTTCTGTCAGTATTTTTTGGTGCCTGTGCTTTGCAATCATCAGAAAGCATGAGAGTCTGGGTAAAACAGACCTCTGCCACACTGAGCAGAGCACAGGAAAAATGAAAGATTGAAGAGTAAACAGGCAAATGGCTGCTACAGTCCAACCATTGTGCCACAAAGCACCCGTTTTCAGCCTTCTATCCATACTTAACTTTCATAAAATGACTTAGTGTTTCCACCTACTAGAATTCAATTAACTTTTGTACAAAAGGACACTTTCTTCCCAAAAAGGTGGCACACAAATTACCATCTGACGTAGTATCTCTCACCATGTCCAGGAAGCCCAAATGAACGGAGTTCCTCTCCATCAGAACTGTACTTGGCTCCTCACAGTTTTGTGAACTCTGATCTAAATTAATAAAAGAATATCAATGTAAATAACAGAGAGATTCTCCACAGATATTAAGTTTATTCAGGAATGTGCAGGGCATTTGCAAATTTGGCATATGTGGGCTATAAAGCCCATAAGCGTATCCAAAGAGGTTGAGGCAAGAGGAAGCCTTTAAATGTAAAAGGGAAAAGTATACATAATTGGTTCTGAAACTAAGAGAACTTTGGTTACAGGGGCTTATTGCAGGAGTTAACACCAGTTCATTACTGGTGTATCCGGTAAGTGCTCCTGTGCATCTGGCTAGCTGTCCTTGTGACTCATGTAGCAAACTGTGTGTAAGAGCCCTTCAGAGAGTCTTTGTAATAATTCTTATCATAGGCATGTGTGCATGAGGGCCTTCTCTTCTCAGCCTTCTGGCTTTATTTTTATTGTTAGGGTTTGACACAAGTCACTCCATTTTTTTTTTGTACTTCAGGTTTTGGGGTACATGTGCAGATCATGCAGGATTGTTGTATAGGTACATACATGACATTGTCGTTTGCTGCCTCCATCCCCCCGTCACCTATATCTGCCATTTCTCCCCATGTTATCCCTCCCCAACCTCCCCATGCCCTGCTGTCACTTCCCTAGCCTCCCCGCACCGACCCCAGTGGTGACTCTATTTTGATCCTGATGACTTTCACAAAAATAACTAACATTCCTCATTTTAAAATAATAGAAGGAAAAAAAGAAAATAAATAATTGACTAACATATAGAAATACATATTTATATTTATAATATACAAATAAGAATATGCATGCCTGCTGCAGTCCTCATCTCCATAACTGGTCACAAGGTCAAGTTCATATTTATCACATTTCTTTCACCACCCATTCCATGTTCCTTCCCCTCTGCTAAAAGTTCAGCTAGATACTGTTCTTTACCTGGTGGGATGGCATAATTGTCTTCTCTATGAGACCTGAGTCTTTGATGAGTCATTATTGGATTGCCACAGTTTCCCCTTAACAATGGCTGTTGGATAAAACCATAGTAGGAGGCTCCCAGTGAACACCTTGAGTTCTAAACATAGCCCCCATTCCACTATTGTATAGTAGCAACCAACTTTCTTCTTGATAATTTTGGACCCTTGATAATTGGGTTCCCTGATTCAATACAGAGAACTCCTCTGGCTGTTGATTCAGTATGATGAGAATACAAAATAGCCAAAGGAAAGTCTCAAATTCCAATCAACAGGATCATTATTGTGTTTCCTGTTGGGAACATTTCTTTCTGAGGCTCTAGGGCCTCCAAACCCACTGAACCCAAGCTTGCAGAGATGGAAATAAAAATTACTCCATTGGGTTATTTAGTGTAAAAAAGGGCCTCACGTCTCTACCTCATACCTTCTGGCTATGGAGTAGACAGTATGACATAGTAGCCACTATTTTAAGGCATATCCCACATACTTTAGGACAGCACCCAACCTCACAGAGTGTTGTCTCACAGCTCACAATGTTACAGAATCATTAGCAAGCCATTTCATAAAATTACCTGCTTCCAGTCATGAGTTGCATGGTAAGAGCAATGGACTCCATGGGTGTGAGTCTATTTTTGCACTTACTTCACAGTAAAATGTATCTCTTTAGTCTAAGGCAATGGATAGAGCCTCCTTAGTCTGAAACAATCGCTAAAGCTGCAAATCATGCTCCTGGCAGAAGAACTATAAGAAAGAAAGGGAAATCTCTATCAAACATATTTTTGTTTGGGGATAAATTTCTTACTTTTACATAATGGAAAAGATCCAAGGTTACCACTACGTCACCATAGTCTCTGCTATTGGCAGACTGGGCATTTAGCAGTGGAGATAACCAGATCATCACTGATGAGAAGAAATCTCTTACTGAGCCTTGGCACAGCTTCCACCCCTGCACCAATGCCACTTTGTACATAGGTCCATTGAGCAAGTGCTGTGGTGGCTATAGAAAAAGGCTGACTGAACTCAGTCACAGAATAGGTTATCTCATCGAGATTGCTCTTTGGTGACCATTTTCATGTGACACATATATCCTCACACTCTGCCTATTTCAGAACCCCATAAAGGACCTTGGACTCTCTTGTCACCAATTTACCAATCTGCACAAGTCCAATCTCATATAAACTATTTCCATTTCATGGATTGCAGATGCATACACCACGCTTTTAGTTTATTGGATCAGAGAGCATTAAGTTCATGGTGGGTAGAAGAGTCATAGCTTAAGCAAATTTCTTATGCATCAAGCATTCGTCTTCTACCTGGGTCATGCAAAATGCCTTACCCAGTGTCTGTATTTGCCACTTGAGTCTGCTAAGTGGCACAGACCTTGCTCTACAAAATGGACTTTAATAGGACCTTCTCTTGTCTTGGGCCTCACTCAAAATTGGAATGGTTACCAGTTGCTCAATAAATAAGAGTGGCACATCCAAATGCAGGATATGTCACCTCCAATACCCAGAGTCCCCCTCAGCGTTGTGCCTCTGATTTAGTTGAAAGTGGTGCAAGGCACAGGAACTTGCTTGTCTAGGGCAGTATGTCTATATGCTCCTTAGACATAGTGTTGATTACAGGCCCCTAAATTTCTGGGGCGGCGAGGTCGGGGGGGTTCTTCCACCTCTTTGTATACATTTGTGTTAGCACATCTGTGAGTCTTGCTATTTTCTGTTCAAAAGATCCACCCAGCTGTGGCTAACAATAATATCCTATGAGCTGTCCTGATGTTCCAGGACCTTGTGGACTGTATTATGACAACATAGGAGGGTTCACTGATGTCTGGTGAAAGCAAACTGCTTTTGATAATCCTCATTAATCAATATAGGAAAAAACACATTTGTCAGATGCATACCAAATACCAGGGACTATGCTAAGTTGCTCCAGCAAAGATACACCTGGAAAAGTAGCTGTCATTGGAGTCAGCACCTAATTTACTTTACAGTGATTCACAGGCATTGTTCGATTCCCTCTTGCTTTTATACTGGCTAAGTAGTCAAGTGCTAGGAACCAAAAGCCCACAATATTCAAGTCTTTAAATAGTAAAGCTAATCTTCACAATTACAATTTCCACAGGGAGGTGCTATTAATTTTGATTTGCTATTTTAGTAGGAGAGCCTTTTCCATTGGTTTCATTTGGCTCTTTTTAACATATTAACCATTTCTCCATGGGTCAAGGACAGATGTAAATACTTGACCAGTTGCTAAGTATAAATATTCCAACCATAAATTCAGGAATTAGAGCAAAAACCACATAGTGGCTCTTACATATTGAAGTCACTGTGGGATAAATTCAGGGCAAAATTTATCTCCTATTTTCCATAAGTCTTCACTCTCTTCAGTAGACCACAATAGCATTTCTAGTCCCTAGAAATTATTGTCAGCTCAGAACTAGTGTCCATCCTACATTTCCTCCAAGGACATAGGTATTCTAGCAAATAACCACAGGTCCTCCTTCAAGGTGACATAGCCTCCCTTCAATCAAGGGATTTAAGTTCTGTAAACTGACTTAGGTGTGTGAACATAGCAAGAGACCATAACTTACTGTGGCAACTCAAGTTACATTTCTGTTGACCAGGCCTAGAGTTTTTCTAGCAATATAGAAATGTATCATTCTTATTTAAATCAGAATCATAGTGTCTCCTCACACCAATTCATTTCTTAATAACTTGGTAAAGAAAAATGTCCTCTAAGTCCCACACCTAACCAAAGAACATAGAGGGAAGGAGAACAGACTGGACATAATAAATTTAGTCACTTCAACATTGCTAACTAAACATTCCTGTCTCCCTAACTAAACCTTTG